TCCCTATATATATATATATATATATATATTGTGACTTTTTTCCCTACATTTGTACCAACCAGGTTCTCTTATGTACATTTTAATCTCACAAACTAAGTTCCCTAGACTCTGATCTGAGAGACTAAGTAACTTATAAATTAATTACGTTACAAAATAAAGTAACTGGAAAAGTAAAACTTTCTTCAGCGTTTATAGCGTATTAAAAAAACATCTCTATGAATGAAAAACGTCAGATTTTAGAACTTAGCAACTGTTTGAGGTATTGTTTATTTCGTACACTAAAACAATTATGTGGCACAATTAGGGTTACACGATGTCCCAGTTTCTAGCCTATTTTGTGTGTGTCTCGTACAGAAACAGTAAATGTACTAAATCGTCACAGTTCCTCTGTACCTCATCTGAATGTGATATATTCGGTTTGTTATTATATTATTCACTTGAATAATCCTCTAACAAAGACAGATCATATGCCTTCTTAATCTAACCTGTCATTTGGTAGGAATTGAGATTTGAAGACCTGCTGGGCTTTGAAAAAGAAAACTAAGAAGTGATATTTTTCTTTCGAGTATGTTCAAGACAACTTAGTCGCGTTTTTATTTTTATTCAGGATCTGTTTAACAAGCCAAGCTTTTAAAAAGTTTAGTTTGTCTATGGTTTAAAATGCGTTGCAGTAAGCTTCAAATCGTTTACCAAATGGTAAAAAGTATGCTTTTCTAATTTAAACTGTTTCAGAGCTGTTGCAGTTCTACTCACATGAAAATAAGTCCCAGTTTCACTTTGGAAATCTGATAACCGTAGGCAAAAGCTTTTCAATTTTTAAAGCATTCTATCTTCACACTTCTTACCACTCCTACTCAAGCTCAAAACTGGCTGGCTGCTGTGTAGCGAAAAGGTGAGCGAAAACGAAAAATGTATTTTTGATGTATCACATGATTCGACTAGTTACTGGAATTTTATGTATTAAATTTCTTTCTCTAAGCCACCGTTTTGGCTGGAGCAGCTGTGACACCTAGAGACACAAAGTCATATTTGATATGAATAGATAGTATATTTCCTTCTTCTTTTCCGCGCGTTTGTTTGGGTTGCCATATCCATTAAAAAATTCAGTATTGTGTTAAGTAATTATTATTTGTGAGAAACGTTTTCCACTGTCAAATCTTTATTGATTACTTATACTTGCTACCTTTGTTCATGGTGTATGTGCTTGTTTCTCTAGGTATGCTTTTATTTTTAAACTTTACCATGTTAAAAACAAACAAACAGGAATATCAATACAAATCTACTTACAGCTAGGCTGGGCCTATGGACCACAGGAGCTTTTACAGTCAGTCCAACAAACTCATATTTGCTGTGTTGGCGGTTGCTGCACGCCCATTCAGGTAAATTCAGCGTGTTATATATATGTTTGATTAATTATTATTTTTAATTCTGATTCATAGCAAAGGCTTAGAACTTTTAAGGTAATTATAAAGTATACAATGATTTCTTCTTTTAACCAGCTTATTATACTTAAATCATATTACTTAATTAGGTAATTTTAACAATATACTGAAAGATGTGATTGCAATAACTCTATAGTCTTGTTGATATCCTATTGTAGGAGGCTGTGGCAGTTGGGTTTGAAATTGAAATGGAACGTATGGGAACATCATGCAGCTTCTGGAAAGGCCTAGTGGAATCTTTAGAATCAAAGCGAAATCGTTTGGCTCAGTTATTGACTTCCATAGGAGTTACACCAACTGTTCCTCAAGGATCTTACTTTATGATTGTTGATTTCTCAAACCTAAGTATTGATTCTAATGTTTACATTGACGTTTGCATCAAACAACAATATTAAAGCATTTATATGTTAGTAACGAGTAGAACAGATCTGTGCTAAAAGAACGCTTTTATTTAAAGGCAACTTATAAGCTGTTGCTTAAAGTTTAAATATTGTTTTATTAAATGCTATTCAGAATTGAAGAAAAAACAAAGACAATTGTATGTTTCACAAAAACTTCACTTATTCGCGACCATAGTTTCGCCAGTAAAGGCATCATCAGGTACAGACTGAAATCCGTCAGTCCAATCAGTGGTGGTTATTTTGGTCTGAAGGATAACCAAGGGCGGTAAGAAACTTCTACTTCTCTTCACCCCCCTTCGTGGCCAATTGGTAGGGACTTTAACAGGAAATGTATTGATGTTCTTCAAACTGGTAATTTGATGAAGACTGAATCATTTTCACGCGACTTACTGCCTCAAGCTATCCGGAAAAGCAGCGAATTTACAGACTGAAATGGTTTGTAAACAAGTTTATATATATATATTTTATACAAAGAGTCGGAAGTAACCTTGACATTTACCTTGAGTCAAGTGGGATGAGAAGTGGGGAGGAGACGGGTCATAAGTGAAAGGCCAATGTCATCTCGTTTGTTGACTCGCATTCAAAATTTTATTAAACTATTATTTTATGAATTTATGTCAATAGGTTTGGTAGCAAATTGTAGATTATCATTCAAATTTTAGAACTATATATTACTCGATTTCTTAATTTAAAAGTAAATATTAAAAAAAGATAAACATCGATTTTTGTGTGTCACGTGGTATGTTGAATGCAGCACTGGTTCAAATTAGATGTTTGCGAAGTCAAAATACTAAGTCTATAGTTTCGTACGAATTAGAAACTCAAATTACAGATATTGACAAACTAAACTATAAAATAATAAGATCTTATATTTTCTATTTTCTAAGATATTGCTCATGTAATAAATCAAACCCCGCCAACTTCTTTTTATTTTTGGAAACGCTCCCTTATATACACTTACTTCTATACATGACATGAATAACCAATCGGAAGCTCAGAATTTCCCCCTAGTTGTTTTCTCAGTATTTGTAACGTGGCTAGCGCCATTTATTCCTTTTGAACCAAGATTTCAATGAGGTAGGTTGTGTCTTTAGTCTGTTCGAAATTTCATATTTGT